TGATAGAAAGTTTTAGTTGTTGTAGTAAGTGGAAGTATGTTAGAACTCTAGCAAGATGATGTGTGTTTGTAGGTTTGAATATGATTTTTTGAATTGCTTGGTGATTATTTAGAGTAGATATTCCTTCATTAATAGCTGCTGATAAAAGGAAGGCTTTAAGATAGGTATAGAAGTAGTAAGTGCGTCTTTTAATATTGGTTGTAATATTGTTTTCTTTAACAAATTCCTGTTCAGCTAAGTTTGCTAGTTTACAAAATAGATTTATTGGTGTAGGAGTTTGGAATATAGCTTTGTTTAGTTGATCTTTTTCAAATTGCAGAGTATTAAGTTTAAGATGTATCTATCTAACTTTGTCCTTAGGGGGATCAGAGGATGGAGTTACTGGAAATTTAATAAAGGATTGGTCAAAGAAAGAGGTTGAAATATTTTTAAAAGTATGTTCTGTATCAGTAGGCAGGATGTTGTAGTCTGTACCAGTACAAGTATGGATATGGAAGAGAGCAGCTTTGGTGCAGAGAACTATATGTTCATGAAGAGATTTAATTGAAGTTATTTTAAAATCTTCTAGAAAAAGTTTTTTGCAGGCTTTAGCTAGGTTAAGTGCAATTTTATGCTTGATATAATTGTAAGTTTTGGTTTGGTCTATTTCTGAAAATTGACGTTTGTAAATTTTAAAAAATAGTTCGAACCATTTGTCAAGATCTTCTTTGTGTTTTTTGAGTGAAGGAATCCTAAAAGTTTCTGTGAATTCTTGTTTAGGAATATTAAGAGAGATGTTAATATTGAATTTGTTATCATGTTGTATTTGAAAGAGAGGTTAGTAGATTTTGTCTTCAGAAATAAAGTAATTTAATTAGAATCTTTTGGGTTTGATATTGAGGTCTTTATAGAATTTGTTAGCATGAATAGTCTTGTAATCATTATTGAGAAAGAGGTGAATTCTAGCAAGATTAATAGTGAATAAGTTGCAGTTTTGAATGGTATAAGGAGGAATTGTGTTGAATAAAGAGAGGATTTTTTGGTAGTTGAGTTTGGTGAAAAAGATTGTTGTAAATTTAGATAGAAGAGATTTGAAAGTTGAATAGATAATATCGAAGGGAATTGTAGTAGCTCTGTCAATTTTTGGATTTGCATTAAAAATAAGATCAGTAAGAAAGTCAGAGCACTGACTAGCCATTGATCTAATAAGATATTTAAAGTTGCTTTTTGAAGCAGGAGTGTTTTTAGATACTGGTTTAAGAATTTTTTCTGGTATAAAATTAATGAGATTTGATTTTAAAAAATTGAAAAGTTTAATCGAGACTTGTATATTGAGTTAGGTATGTTGTTCCATTTCCTCAGTTATAGAGAAAGCTTTAAACCAATCGAGGTCATTTGAAGTATCTCTTTTGGATAGTAGTTTTTTAGTAAATTTGGTAAGAACAGATTTGAACAAAACCTTTTTTTGGTCAGTAGATATTAGGCTAAATTTGATGAAATGAAAAGTGTTTTGCTGTGTTAATGTTAGAGGTTTAGATTAGTAAAGTAGTTTAATTTTAATATTATTAATATATTCGGAATGAACTAGGAAGCCTTTAAGAATGAATTCAGATTGAAGAGAATATTTTTCATTTGAAAGAAAGACACAAGGGATGTTTTTTTAGTGACAGACTAAGCATGTGTGAACATGGTGGGAGTGAGCAGTAATTGGGATTTGTTAGTCAAAAGTGTTTAAATTTGTAGAAGATGTTGCAATACTTTGGGTATTATAATTGGATAGGAAAGGAGGTAAAGAAGTTGTTTTTTGATTAATTAGTGATTTAGAGATTTGGTCTTAAATTTTTTGAACTTGTTTTGGTGTAATATCTATAGGTGTAGAAGTATTGGGTTTGGCGTAGGAGTGTTAGGTCTGGAGATTTCCAAAGTATAATATTTGGAAATTAAATATGTATAGTATTTTTTGCAGAGACAGTTGATTAAAGAAGGTTGAGTTAGTATATTAAAGTAGTGGAGTTGTTTAGTAGGTGCGTATTGGGAAGAATTGAAGGCAAAAGGCATTAGTTTGAGTTGAGCAAGATTTTGTTCACATGTGACTATGCTATATCTGTCACTATACTTGGATAGGAAGTAGTCCAAGTTAAAGGAGTCAGGTTTGTATTGAGTGAGAGTAGGCATATTGTTAAGATAGTATATTTGTTTTAGAAGTGTTGTAGAGAGGTTTTGGTAATTTTATAATATTATATTTGAGATAAGAACGAAGAGAGCTTTCTGAGAAGGTATAGTTTAGTTTGTGTAATATAACACTAGCTGTATAACCCACAAGGTGGCTAGTGTAGCTTGTAGCTAGTATGGCTAGTATGGTACAAAGCCTGATATGCATCACCAAGCTAAAAATAGTAAGATTTTATTGTTACATTGTACTAAATTAGAATTAGTACAAATATATAAGTAATTAATTTGTGTTTAATTAGAATGAATTTAAAAGGGAAGTTTTAATAATTAGTGCTATTTTGGGGTGAACCAATGAATTTTGGTTGATTTGTCATGTGATTTAGGTTCAGATTTGAGGGGGGAAACAGAAAAGAATTTTATTTTTAGAATTTTTTAAGAAAAAACTTAAAATGAGTTTTCCTTTGATAATTTAGCGAGTTTTTATTTATTTTTTATAAAATATATATGTATATGAAGCTAAGAGCGAGCTGGACAAAACTCTTTTAATAACCAAGAGTTGTTGTCTTAGTGAAATTCGGAGATAATAATAAAATTGTTATATTAACTATTAAAGTAAATATCTTTGCGAGTTTAAGTCTAAAAGATATAAAATTAGGCCTTACTGAAGCAGAATCTTGTGTAGAACAATTTTGCTTAGTGGCCTAAGAAGGGTCTATTTAGTAAAATATTTAGTTATGAATAAATGTTTTTTGGAAGTTTTGGTACAAGTGATCTACGGGAAGAGTTCATATTGATCAACTTAGAAATTATGATATCTGATATGTATTGCTTATTACTAAATTTATACTACTTACTTATATAATGGACATAATCTTTTATTTCAGAATGATTATTCTTTGCTACATAAAAAACTTCTAAAATACATTGTCTATAAGAATGTATATTTTTATATACTTTGGCAACTAAAATATGCAATTTATCTATGCTATTTAGTGATTGATGAACTTCTGAGAGTGTTTCAAATTTAAAATAAGCTTTTATTAAATTGCCTAAAAAATTAATATTAAAATAAATATTTAATACATGATATATTTAATTTAATACAATAATATACTCTAATATTCTTTAATAAAAAGGTTTAAAAAAATTAATATAGTAATAAAAAATTTACTTAATTGAATATATCATAGAGTAATTATATCATTGTCTTTAATTGCTTAAGAAATCAAAGATTGAAAACTTAAATTATGTATCCTAACATATACAATTGCAATAAATAGGCAAGTTTTAAGATCTTGTAGTATAAATTTATAAAATTTTACTAGACAATACTTTTGAATAATCTTTCCATGATCAATATTTCTATTAGATAACTGATGAATATAATCTAGGTTATTGATTTATAATTATTTATAACTTTTTAATACAAAAATATTACTTGAAAAGACTTTTTACTATAATATAAGTAAATTAAAATAAATAATAATATATTAAAAAAATAATAAATTATTATATACTATATTTTTTTCTTTTAGATAATCGATACAATATAGTTGTATAATAAAGTAATTCTTTTTGTATCTATATAATATAATAAATCATATTAAATAAAATTATATATATAAATATTAATTACATAAAATATTAATTTATATTAAAATACTACTTCTTTTTTAAAAAATAAATTATGAAGAAGTATAATATCAATACTTTCACTATTAACTTTAATATAACAATGCTATTAATCTTCAATATAATATATTGAATAGCTAATAAACTATTGATATACTTTTTGTATATCCTGAGAAATATGTAATTTATATAAAATTAGTTTTTCAGAACATGTACTTTCATTATTTTATTTAAATTTACAAGGAGTATCTTTAGCAGCCAAATATGTACTAAATTTGAAAGAACAATTTTAGTATATATTTATTATTAAAATATATATATATATATATATATTTACATATAAGTATGAATTTTTTAGAATTGACATTTTGATTTTTAGTAATTCTTTTCCACAATTATAATTCAATATCGACCTCATTGTGTTCAATACTTGCAAGTAAAGAATCAGTAAATTGACAAATTTTAATATCTAAACAATCACATTCTTCTTTATTTATTTGAATATTTCTAAAATATAGTGACCTTTTAATTATTTGAATTCCACTACTACCCATAGAATATTGTATCTAAATATAATATAAATAAATTATAAATCATAAATTAATTTTTAAATTTTTTTAAAAAATATATATATTAATATTTTTCTATATATAATTTGGATCAGCCTAATCTGCAATATGAAATATTGTTGCAATACCTTCTAGTAAGGTAGCCAGATATTCCACAGGTATATTAGAATGTATTATAGTTTTTATACAAAACTAGAATGTAAAATATGCAGTTTCTAGGATTTCTTCTTCTTTATCGATCAATTCTTCATTGTCTATTAGTTCTACTAATGACTCTACTTCTGATTTCTGATAATAATTTCAAATTTATAAAACAAGATTGAATTTACTATTTTAAATATTAATATATTTACTTGATTAAATTCTGAGTCTATTTGGTCATATTAAAATTCTTCAACATCAGATATATCTACTATATCATCTATATTTAATATTGCAATAATCAAATAAAGAAGTTGATTTATTATAAAGAGGTTTATTGACAAATATAGGATATTAATATTTTTAATAATCAAATAAAGAATTCAATTGTTACTATAAAGAGATTTTATTAACCAATATAGGAATCATGCAATCAATGATATACATTACTAAATTTAATCAATATATAGATAATACATAATTGATTTTATTAATATGTAAATACTGTATATGAATCATGCAATTTATAATATATAGTATAAGTAATTGATTATGTACTATACATGCGTATGTCTGAGTATAATTTTTTATTTTATTTTTTTTAATGTCTGTTTTAATTTGCATTACTGTACTGTACTACTTTACTATATACCCAAATTAGACTGTTTAAAATTTGAGTTCTGGATTATATACTCATACAAAAAAATCATTACCTATGTCACAAACTGAGTTATTAAAGTGACCTAAGTAAGTAAATTTGCAGATATTTAAATCATTATTTTTATATTATTTTCACTCAGATCTGTTTATTTGAAGTAGAAACACTATGAGGAGTATGCCATGCTATGGCTCTGTTTATTTATTTATATATATACATATAAATACCAATAAATTATATTATGAAAATAGTTATTTGCTAAAATGTTTCATGAAGGTCATATGACAAAGCCTAATGAGAATTAGGCATATAAATAATAGCCATTATTATGAGATTAAATTATAAGTTACCACCAAATATTATGAGTAATTCAGTAAGTATACTTTAAGCTTCTCACCAGAAGTATGATATTGGTAATTTGTCGAAAGGGAATTCGATAATTATAATTAACTTTATATACCCTACCAAACACATAGAATCTATCACCAACCACTAATATTGTAATGTTCTTTAAATAGTTTTTAATTCTTATATGTAACAGAAGGCTTTGCTGTTATAGAGGCTTTGGCAATTGATCATAGCTTCTTAGAAATTCTTGGATCTGCAGCTTTCTAAGCCTATAACAATCTAATTTAGTTTCTGAAAATGTAGTTTTTATCAGCTTAATCACATTTTTAGAAATGTCACTTTTACTCTATGATACTGTAATTAGAAAGATAGTAGTACAACTTATCAATAAAGTAGATTTTTCTTAAAATATATGAATGTATATTTTTATTAGGTAATAACTATTAAAAATGGTTATGTTATTTTTGTTATTGAAGTTGGTTTTAAAATAATACAAGCTAGTAAAATTATTAATAAATAAAAAGTTATAAGAAAAAATATGTTTAGATTATTCAGTATAAAACACAAGTATAAATATGCTTACCTTCTCTTTTTCTTTAGTCCAAACTTCTTTATAAATATCTGACATTGCTTCTAGAATCAGAAATAAATCTAATTTAATCTAGCATTTTTGAGATAAAATATTTATATAATATGTCTCATAAAATTATTTATTATGAGATCATTCATTCTTCATAATAATTATAAGATCTATGCCTACAGCTAGCAATGAGATATACAAGACATATCATATACTAAACCTAATATGAGGAATCATATCAGAATGACGAATCTCCTGAACTACACCCTTTGATACTTACAGTACCAGCACTTTATAAGCTAAGATATACATTAAAGCAATTTTACATACATTCAGATACAGACAGCAACATAGACCTATATTGTTATATCTACTACTTTTCTACAAAAATATATCATCAATTTGAAAGAAATCAAATATTTTTATAATACATACCTTAAACATAGGGTTAAACTGTAATAAAATTATTTCTAGCTTTCATTTACTATTTGAATAGACCTCACTACAAGTGGTTATAGCATCCTGAACCTCTTGGCGATATTGAAATTCTGCAATATTAATGTTATTTCTTTTCAAAATTTTAATACTTGTAGATAAATACTGGGAAGCCATTCTTTTAAAATATAATTTACAGTTTGGTTGATTGTAATTTAGGTAAAAGTAATTTTTAAATATTATTAGAATTGTAGATATTAGTTTTTATCACAAATAAAGTGATGAATAACTAGTAATATACTATGTATAGTACTATATATACTATACATGCTTACTGTATAAGATTTTTTACTAATCATTTTATATAGACCAATACTAGGAAGCAATAACCAATTAAGTTAATTAATTTTTATTAACATGAATTTATCCTAATTAGCAACAATTAAATTCTTCCTAATTACTAATTACACAAAGTTTCAGAATAAGCTAGAAATAAACATAAAATATGAGCAAGTTCAGCTAAAGTATTCTGGAGACAAAATTTTTAAATAATTTTATTTTATACTATTACTATTACTATACTATACATACTATATATATAGTACATACAGTATATGAAAAAAATTCAGGTATCATATAAATTGCACATCACTATGAATAAGTATAATGTAGATATACTGTCCTTTTAAATTGCTTATTTCTGCTTCATTTAGATTAGAAACAGTAGATTTAGAGAAACTTTTTACAAAAAAAATATTCAAATTTGGTTTTTTATAGGTCAGAAAGTTATATAATTACATCATGCATATAGAAATTCTATAACCTTCAATTTTATTTGCTGATATAATATGGGTATAGCCAATAGAAACAGCCTATTTTTATATATATCTTATTTTGAGATAATTGAGTTTAATCATTTGTATTGATTTTTGGATTAATCAAATTTTACAATTTTGATTGGTTAAAGACTATCAGATAATCTCATAATATATTGACTCTATGTAATTTTTCCTTTATATTATCTAAATTTTTTATTATGCAAATTGACTTTCATTTATAATTGAAAAATGTTAATTATATCAAAATATATATGAATATAATAAAACTCATTTTTTAAAAAAATGTAAAAATAAGCTGTTTCTATTGTTCGCACCCTATATATGATATGTTGATCAAATATCTGTATTACACAATTGATTTTTCAAGTATGTAGATTTGGCTAAAACTAGTATTTTAGTAAAATTATATATTTCGCTAAAGACTTGAAATCCAATAATTCTGAAACTAGCAAAACTAGTGAAATTTCTGAAACTAGTAATATATCTGAAACCTAATAAAATATTCAAAAACTAGTGAAACCGAAATCTAGCAAAAGTTCTAAAATCTAATATTAGAAATTTTATTAGAAACAATATCTAAACTATAGTAAAACAGAGTATTAGTTTAATTCAGGAGATGGCATATCCATGGGGGACTGTCTCATAATTTGTAGATTGGTTACACTATTGATAAACTACTTTTTTATATTATTTTATAATACTTTTTTAAAAGACTTTCATAGCCAATCTCGACTATGAAATATGACTAAATGTATTAAGTAAACTTGAAGTATTCAAATCATAATACAACATATTTTATTAATTCCTGTTAATCTCATACTATTGTCTTTTAATTTATATGCAAAAATATGTTTAGAATAAAGTATTGCAAAGAATACCAATCACTGAGTTGACTAAATTTCATTTATTGAAAGATGAAAAGTGGAAACTAGCTGAACTTAATGATTTGGTGAAGATAACATAGAAAGAAAGTATTGTTTTATGTAATAATTGTTATATAAGCTTAGTAAAAAATTCTTTAAAAAAGGTTCTAAACAAGTAAAAATCATTGAAAAAGAAGTTATATATGAAGAAGAGATAAATACAAAAATTAATCTCTCTGAAGCTATCAAGATGATAGTTAAAATTCTTTATAAGAGAGAACATATAGAGAAAGAAGTTACTATATATAAGTTTGATAAAATATGAAGGTTGTTTCAAGAAATTGAACTTAATTTTATTTAGCAGCTCGACTATTTAAATATAATGAACAAACAATAGATTATATGAAAAAATTAATAGTGTTCATATGCTATCTTCTTTTTTCATTAAATAATACAAAAATTAATATATTTAAGTCCGATCTAGCATATTATTTAAATTTAGAGGTACAAGCAATAAAGGTCTAAATATGATAGCGAATATTAGTACATCTATAATATCAAGAGCAGTAAATTATAAGAAAAGAAGAATATCTAATATATATAGAGAATATATAGAGAGAGCTCTTGCAAAACATTCAGAGAATACTTTTGTGTTGAATATTGATAATTATCATAATATTCATATTTTAAGAAAACTCAATTCAATTAGTATATCTTGAGTGGTATATATAGCAATAATTATAGCAAACCCATATCTAATATTAGCAATACCTTGTAATAAAGTAATTAATTTAAAGATTGTTAATAACAAATTAATTATAAAGTATCTTGATGAAAGGTTTATTGTAAATCTTGAGATTCTATATTACAATTGTAATTAGTATAGTAGAGAAGAGTGTTCTGATAAAGAGCTCATAGATAGATTAATAGTACATAGCTATGACAATAGATTAGAAGAGAAAAAGAGAGGTTAGCATATATGTGATACTATTTTTTTGATTTTGTTAAAAATAACTTGAAAGGTGTTAAAAGATACATAAAAACTCTTTAGTTATATATAATCAAGAGTTAATACAAGATTATTTTTCTAATCATGCAATTCCTGCTATTGCTGATTAGCTTAGTTAGTTCTTTATTTACAAAGCTATTGCATAATAGCTCCTTGCTAATACTGAAGCTATTTCTTAATTTATTATATCAGTTTTGCCTATAATAGGTCCTTTTCATATATCCTTAAATTCACATGAACTTGTTTTTGATTAAAATTAGTTTTTGTTCAATAATATTTATCAACTTATATTTGGAAAAAACAAAAATCTTAGCAAAAATCTATAACTGTAGAAAATTAATTTAATTCTCTATATTATACACATGATATGAGTTGATATTGTAGATGTTGTATATCTAAAGTTTAGTTATATATATAAAACTTTTGAATTTTTATATATTAAAGATTTATTAAACAATTTAATCCCTTTGGTTCTTGATTTTTATATAGTATATCATTAGAAAGGCAATTGGCTAGCTTATGAAGAAGCTTGCATATGTTGCTAATATGATCTTTTTCTTCAATTCGATCAAAGAAATTATAAACATGCCCTTTTAATATTTTTCACAGATATTTTTTACTAGATAGTAATTAATCATCTAATGTATAGTATGATCACTAATAATCTTGAATCTTTGAGTAATTGTGCTATAGAAATTGTTCATAGTATCATCTAATGATATACTGCTAAATATTCTACTACTCAACAACTACAAAAAGAAGCATATTCTATTTTTTAGAATCGAGAGGATAATGAATTTAAATAGCAATTTATGACTTTCAAAAAATATAAATATATATCAAAGCAATTAAATACTCTTTCTTAAAGTATGCTATATGGCTTTTGGTATGTTTATGAAAATATATCAAGCCCATTATAAATATCTTTTAATTATTAAAACTTCATCTGATAGTATTAATATATATAAATTACCTTCTTTATGTTATAAAATAATAGATCATCATCTTCTATAGAGATTTGTTATATATAAAAAACCTAATACAACAATTCTTTGTAATTATATTTATTGCTATAGTAGCTCTTTAATTAATAATATCATTTTTATATATGAATATAGTTATCATAATCATTGTCTACAAAAATATCAATTTAAATATTTGATATATTTAGGATATCTTCAAGATGAGATAATAAAGAATATTGACATACTTATAACAAGTTTAATAAAAGAGAAAAAAAATCCTATCAAAGATGATAGCAAAAATATAGTTAAAGATAATTCAAAAATAGATAAAGTTATAGATAATGCTAAAACAGTGAAAGGTTCATTTGAATATGCAATAGAATCAATTTTAAAATTGTAAAATTTTGTAAAATTTCAATTAAATATTTATTATCAATAAATAATTTATTACTTTATTATAGTATTAGATCATTTCTATTGTTAATTATTTAATTAATTATCATATTTCTTATAAAAAAATCTAGGAATTAGAACTATTTAATATATAAAAATTGTTTCATAATTTTAAATTGAATTATATTGATCATGAGCCAAGGTTATCTTAATATAAGTTAATATAATTAAATGGTTAAATAATTAAAAAAATTCTAGATAGTTCTAATCTCTAAAAAATCTATTACTTTATATTGCACTAATTTGATTAGTTGGGTTTACATATGATAAAGTAATTTTTTATTAGCTATTAAGTATCAGAAATAAATAAAAATGATCTGCATTTTGTGTAACAGAGGACAGTCTTTCTTGGAGATAGCATAAGCAGATCATACATGTTATTTTTATCTGAAATATATCATATATCTGTGATTTGTAAATAGATAAAAAAGTGTAGAGTTAGAAATTGAAGTAGCTATTTTAGTTTTGTATTTGATTATTGTAGTATATTTGTTAGTAATTTTATTGCAAACAGATTAAAAAATTTTAGTATTTAGAATACAATAGTTGAATTTTGATATAATAATAGTATTAATAATATAAATTTATTGCTTGTTAGTAATATTTTTCTTTTTGAAAAAGTTTATTGTCTAGTATATTTCTTGTATAATAATATTATAAATTAGAATATAATTTTTGTATAATGTGAAGTAGTAGCTAAAAAATCTAAAGATATCTTTTGTATTAATAGAAGATATTGTAGTATTTTGAAAGTGAATAGTTTTGTTAAAAGAGGAGTTATTATTAGTACAGAGGAATGATTTAGTTAAATTAACTATAATTCTTGTAAGTTTGTAAAATGAAGAAGTAGTTTTAATAATTGTTATAGTTAGAGTTGTATAAAGGTAATCTAGAGAGTGTCATCTAAGTAGACTAAAACTAGTGTATTATAGAATAGAGTTTTTGTATATAGTATAATAGGATTATTAGTAGTAAATATTATATAGCCTGTATATGTATTTGTAATGAATAAAAGTATATATACTAGAGTAGTAGAGTTATTGTTTTACCTTGATCAATTCTGTTATATACAGAGTATAGTTATATATATTCTAAGTTTGTTATAACTTGATTAGAGTATTATAAATAAATATCTAAAATAATATGTTAGAATATTTTAGAGATTTTAATTTTGTTAAGTGCTTGAATAAGTAAAGGTATATAAACTATATTATATACTTTATTTATATTTTGTAATAGTATCCATATTTCTTTTTTGCAAATAAAATTATCCTTGAAGAAGTATTAAAGTATATATATCTCTTAATTTGTAATATAAACAAATTTGTCTGTATTTACTTTTTATTTTTATAATTTTTAAATAAAACTTTAAATATTAATTTTAAATATATACTTTCTAAATAAAATATATTTTTTAATATTTATTTTAACAACTTTGTTAAGAAAGTTTTTTAAAATTATTATAAAAGTTTTGAGTAATAAATTTTTAAAGTTTTGTTTTAAAAATTTTTACTATAAAATTTTTGGTCAAATTTTTTTAAATTTTTATATGTAAATAAGACTAAAAATAACTTTTACTTCTAATACAAGTATAAATTTTTATAAGTAAATTACAAAAGTTATAATAATTAAAGTTGTAATTTTTTAAAAGTTTTATTAAATTGCTTAATAAATTATATCTCTAAAACTTAAATTAAACAAGTTTATTTTAAAATATTAATAAAATTTTTGCAAAAAATTTTTTTAAATTTTTTTCTTATAATATAAAAACAAATACTACAAAAAAATAATTCTTATTTTCAAATTTTATTATCTATAATTATTTTTTTGATATTTTTACATTTTAAAAAAGTAAATTAGAGCTAAATGAATGTAAAAACATAGAAAAATTTGCTTGTATTAGCTTACAATTTAAGGAATAGATATAGTAGTAGTAAAATACAGTAGAATAATATAGTTATATAAATTTAGTATAGAATATCTATTGAAAATTATATTAAGATAATTAATAATTATTTTTGTAGATTTTCTAATATATTTAATTAAGGTAATAGATAATATATAATTGAAGTTCACTAGTAAAGATAGACTTTTTAAAAATTAGATATATATTACTTTATTTGTAGTTTTTGGAAATAGTTTGAGTATTAAGATATTTGTTAAGAAGAAAAAGTAAAGTGTTATAGAAAGTAGTGCTAGCTTTTTTTAATATTTTATTAGAGATAAGAGTTAGACTAGAGACTTTGTAGTTAGATGATAAATTAATAGTTAATATAAATTTATTAATTGTGATAGAGTTTCAAGTTGTTAATACTATGAAAAGAGTATTTGTTTTCTGAGTTTATATTCATTTTGCTATCTGAGCTATTCTGTTTAGTCTATAGAATTGTGTTTTGTCTAGTTTTCAAAGTATGATCTAATATAGTATTTTATTTAATTAGATTTATTGATTAGTTCTATAGAAACATAAATATTATAAAAAATTACAGGTTTTCAATAATAAACTAATATAGAATTAATTGTTATGCTACCAATATAGGAAATCCAAGACTTTTTTAATAGAAAGATAACGTAAAAACTTTGCACATTTAAATTAAGTATTAATGCATTATTTATCTACAATTTTATTATTTAACATACAACTTCGCTAACAAATGATCTTTCGTATCTTACACTAATTACCTATCTTAGACACAATTGCTATCTGTTTGTTTATATCAGTAATTACTTTATAGTTAGAAGTTTAAGCTTATTACTCATGTCATGTAGTTAGAAGCTCATTACTCATGCCATGTAGTGGCAGACTATATTCCCATATGTGTATTCCCAAAACATGTTTTGTAATAAATAGATTGAGCAATAACTACTCAGTTCAAGAATATTAAGAACGATAATATTTATTTTATCATATGTTAATAGAATCTATATTAACTATTTAAGGACATACATTAATGTTAAATATTCCAGTATTACGTACGTGCGCAAAAAAAAAAGGAAAATTCTCGCAAACATGTGCTTAATAATTGTAATGTAATTAGTTTCTATTTAAGGATACTCATTCAAGGATACTAAACATAATTTCAAAAAAAGTAAAGATTTATTTTCACCTGCTCATGACCAATTTTTGGTGGTGCTCTTACGAAAATTGATCATTCTTTGTATTTTAATTTTTTACAAATTAACTGTACTATAATTAGGTTAGTATCAGGGTTAGAAACAATTTAGGCATAAAATTTTTATAAAACTGTAATATAATATAATATATAATATATAATATAATAAAGTGAGTCTGCTTTGATCGTTATGTTATATCTGATCTTGATCACATGAACTATTTTTCGTGAGTTTCATGTTTAGTACTAATCAAACTAAATGCCGTGACCCTGGAAATTCTTTTCGCCATTACCATGTCAAACCTGAACGACTACTAACATGACTCTGCCAAAGCATAATTTTTGGATATGTTGAACTCAACTTTAGAGGGACTCCGGGGATATAGAGATATTTGCTTTTATAGGAGTAATTTTTCTTACAGGAGCAACAGGAGAAATACGTCTTGTAGATCTTTCCTAAGTTATAGAACTGGTGTCTTTTAAGAGTGATAAGTCTTTTAGGAGTGATATTTTTCTCAAATATATTGGAAATATAAAAGTACTGAGTTTTTGCTCTTTAAAAAAGACATCCAACTGTTTCATCGGTTTAACTAACTCAGCTAGTCACTCTAATAAAATCCCTTACCTTAATTAATCACACCTAATAATTCATCTAATTAATCTCTTCTAAACAACACATTAAAACGACCCTCACCCAACCTGTATATGCATCGTCTCTCTCACTCTGAATCCAAAACCTTTTGACACATAGTGTTGATAACATAAACTTTAGTCTTTCCATTCTTAAAATCTTTGTGTCTTTTTCGACATAGTTGTAGGTTCTTAGTTGGTCTTGAATGAGTTGACCTGTCCTAGTAGACCATTTTTTCCCGACTCACAATATGTGCAAATTTAATTATCAAGAATTTATTTAATTATCAAGAATTTATTCATATTTTCACGTTAACCATTTATGACATACGACATAATTCCAAACCACTCATAACATATAACCATTTATTATATACGACATAATTCCAAACCACTCATGACATATGTATGATATGACACAATTCTAAAATATGCACCCACTTTCACATGAACAAAATGATTAGTAAAAATGTATGAGACACTCGTGACAGAGTGATAATTTTATAAAAAGAGTGAAAATTAAAGTATGCCATATATCAATTATACTTATAATTTATAGTATCTTCTACTTTAATGCAATATTATACTACATAATTCAAAATTGTACATTTAGTAACTTGATAATTATTCATCATTTCTTGCATAAATAAATTGATTTTCTAACTAAATAAATATTATAGTTATCAGAAATTAAATGAATTATTTGTATTAAGTAATATAAACTATTTTTAAATGACAAAAAATACTAATAATCACTTGTAAACTTAAATAACAAATGCTTTTTGAAAAAGAAACAAAAAAAAACTTCTGAGTATATCTATTATACCTGCAGCTAAGTTATCCTTTATAACTAGATTAAAAATATTGTTTTTACATTCAACTTCTCTTAAAATAAAAACAAATATTGATAGTAAAAAAGAAGAATATAAACTACTCTTAATCTTTTACTAATATTCTTTAAAAAATCTAAATTTAGAAATAGTAAAGACAAAAAAACTATAGAAGCAAACAAGAAAAAAGTTCACAAAAAAAAACAGTAAAAACTATGCAATAAAAGCTTCTACTATCTCTATTAAATTTTAAGCTTTTTACTTATTTAAGACTATTATACTATATATTTGTTTAGTTACTATTTGAGTTTAATAATAGTATAGTTAAGCTAATTGATATTTTTTTCTTTTTTTACAACAACTATGCTAGATGCAATAGTTGTTAACACAAATTTATATATATTGATCAAGAATGCAGATGCTACTAGTAGGCAGTAATAAGACTTAATACATAAAGTGTTAATTATTTGAGTTGTTTTTGTTATCTATTAGAGACTTTTTAAGTTACTTTTCTTTAACTAGTATTAGAATAAGAACCAAAACTCTCTGTCTATTATATTTTAAAGCAATACTATTGTTTTGTTTTTAACAAATTAAAAGGTTTTTACATATCTTCTCTCCTGCAAAAGAGATTAATAATTACTTTAAGAAATTAGAGCTATTGCTATCTCATATTCGAGATACTTCAAAATGTCTTTATATATAAATTTAAAAGTCTTAATTGATAAATAATAGTTTATTTTTTGGCAAAAGTTTTTATATAGTCTGAATAAAAAACAAACTGATACTAGAGAGATTCAAGATCTTATTACTCTGTAATATAGGATATATATATACTTTTTACTAATATTTTATATTTTACTAAGTAATACTAATAAAGTTAAGAGTTTTAGTCAAATTAAAAACCTAGTTCTTCTTCTTATTAAGCAACTTCTATACCAACAATTTCTATATAATATATTTATAAATAACTATTTTTTTAGTATTGCTCTTTTTTAGTATCTTTAGCAAATTAGAATTAGTACCTATAGAACTATATGAAAAAATTCTTTTAGATTTTTAAAAAAATTTAAGAGTAAATAAAAATATTAAACTTGACTAAAATATTTATTCTAAAGTAGTAGTAAATAGTATTTTAGCTTTTTTTTAGCAGAATAATAGGCTTATTATAATGTTATCAACAATTTATAATCTTATTTATAAAGAATAAAAATAATATAAAAAAAATAATAACTAAAAGAAACAAATATTAATATATCTAAGATTTTTTTTTTTTGAGTTAGTTAATATTATTTACTAGATGCATACTATGTTTAGATCTGAATTCAAAAAAAAATTAAAAACTCCAAAGATAATTGATAATTACACTAATAATATAAATGATATAAATATAGTAAATTAACTAAAATCATATTATAGTACCCAAAAAATGATATGAAGAAATTGGATGTTACAATTCTTTTAGTTCCTAGGTATTATAATTATTAACTCTTCTATATTACCAATACCTTAGGATCAATACAAGAACATAAGAAATTCTATATTGAGCTTTTTTGAGCTCTTGTAAACTTTTTAATAATACTAATAAAGTTCAATTAAGAAATAGTATTAAAACAAAAAGAAAAATTGAAAAATTGAAAAGGCTAAAAGTAACTAAGCATTTTAAGCTTTCTGATAGTTAGTTAGAATCTGAGAACTACTTTATAGAATAAAGAGAAAATCAAGAAGCATATCAGTAGTATTTGTAGTTAATGATCTAAAAAAATTAAAATAAGTTATAAATTATAAATCAAAATAAATTTTAGTATATTAGTTGTAATATACTACTTCGTTATAATGAAAACTGAAATTGTTTTTTAGAATTTTACAATAATAAATAAAACAAATAAAGAATATAAGGGCTTTATAGTTTTCTATTTGACCTTAATTTACTATACTATATTGATTATATGAGCTAAATACTAGAGAAAAGAATCAAATTGACAAAAAATAAATTTTGCAAAAAATTATTTTTATATTATAAAATCTATATTAATTTATAGAAAATTACAAATTTCAAAAGATTATATTGTAAAATTTTATTAATGTACTAGTATTTTTTTCTTAAATAAAAAATGTTTATGAGCTAATTTTAAATTAGTTAAGTTTAAAAAATTCATTTGAAAAAATTGTCAATTTAGTCCTTTTCTTTAGCATCTAGTCTATATTATTATTAAATAATTTAATTATTTAAACTCTTAATAAATTAGTTTGTTTATAAACTTGAAGATCATATAATTCTAATCTGCATTATAAGCTATAAAATATGCAAATATCTTGTGATACTATAATAGTTAGATTTGTAATTTTCTAAACTGAATCAGCTAAGGTAGCTTCTAAAAGCTTAGACAAATAACCTATATAATTTATGACTTCTATACAAATTTATGTTTTTTTGATTAAGTTATATAATAAATATATCATAGTTATAAATTTAGTAAGTAATATAAGTTCTTAGAAATTATTATAATTGATTTAAATTATTTTTTATATAAAAAAAATTTTTTTAGATTTACTTTGTCTTAACTATTTTAGTATACAAATTTGTATACCAAAATATATGATTTAAGAGATAAAGAAAATTATTTGTATTTTGCTAATACTTGTTTATAAAACTATTATACTATATTATTATTAGTAATTAGAAAGTAAAAAGTGTAGCTATCTTAATTTTTGATATATCTTTAGAAAGAAAAGATTTTGCTTTAAAATAATTATTTAAAATTGTTCTGAAAATATAGTCTTCATGAAGTGCTATAATAATCTTGAATAGAATGTTCTATAGAATAGGTGAGCAATATAAGAAATAAACTTCACTAATAATTAGTAATTATTAATTTTTAATATGTTTAGTAGAGTTTGCTCACCTATTCTATAGAATATCCTCTTGAATATATTGATATTAGAATTATTAGTATCTAGTAGAAAGAGTAAACAGAATTTGTAATTTAGTTTTTAATAAGTTGTTGATAAAGAAGGTTTTGGGACTAGAATTTCAAAGTAGTTTCTAGGATTCTTTTGAATCAATAGGTTCAAGAAGTTTTTATCAATAGTAAAAGAGATATTAAAGTTATTTTCTTTTTCTAATAGAGAAATATAAAAAATAAAAGCTTAATTAAGTCTTCTGAATTAGATAAAATTAGTTGTAAAACTAGAAAGTATAATTCAGAGAGTTTTTGAAATTTGTAGATTTTTTTTAGTATATTTACTACTCCTTTAGTAGTAGTCTTGTTTGCTACTAGAAGTGAGAATAGTAATAGACTTTAAATATCTTTTATTATTAATTCAGAGTTATTAGAAAGTAGTTTAAGAAGTGATTACTATATCTCATCAATAGCTTATTTGATTTTGTTTAATTCAATTTTTATATATATATAAATTTACTATAGTATCAAATGATTTTGTATATATTAAATTTGTTTATATATATAAAATTAATATTGAGAAAGAATTGAGTTATTAGGTAGGTTTTAAGTATTTTAGTAATTATGTTTTTAGTATTTTGGTTTGTAAAAATAATATTATAAAATTTTTTTTAGTTGTTAATAGTATTAGTTTATAAGTTTTAAAATTTTTAAAATAGAGTTTTTGTTATAAGTAAAGATAATAAAGAAGCTTATAACAAAATGTTTGAATTTAAGAAAGATAGCAAATAGGATAAAGAATAAAATTAAGTTAGTTTATAGTTTATAAATAGTGAGTTTTTGAATATACTTAAGTATTTTTAAAGTTATATAGCTATATATTAGATATACTATAGTAATTAATTAAAAGAAGTAAATTGTTTTTTATTTATGTTATTAATGAGTATATCAGCCTATTTCTTACTATTATTAGATATAATTTGATAATTATTATTAGGATTAGAGTTAAAATAGAAGTTTTAAGCTGTTTTAATATAAGATAATTTTTGTTAGTAGAATGTTAGCTAATATATATGTATCTGAATTTAAGAATATTTTATCTATAATAGTATTATATATTTAATAAAAGATAATAATACAAATTACTTAATAAGTTTATATTCAGTTTAATTTGCTTATAATTGGTTTAAAAAGTTTGTTGTATTACTAGGTTTAGTAT